GAAAAAAAATAAGGAAAAAAAAAAAAAAAAAAAAAAGAAATCGCGAGCCTGACCTGCTTTTTTTTTTTTTTTCCCCCTCCCCCCCCCCCAACCTCTTTCCTTTCTCCTCTTCATCCAGCCGAGCCGAGGACTATCCCAATCGCCAAGGGGAAGGAAAAGGGGGGAAAACCCAGCAGCAAGAACCACCAACCCCCCAGCAGCACGCCCCATTCCTGCTGCCCTTTGACATGCAACCTTCCTGGGGATGGGAGCAGCCGGGATGCAGCTGCAGCTTCGGGAGGCACTGGGGGAAACTGGGAATCGTGGCTCTGATGCCGGTGGAGGTGAGCGCCTGGAGCCGGGTGCTGCTGCTCTCCGTGGGGCTCCTGGCTGGATCCGTGACGGGTAAGTGGCCACGGAGAAACCCGGCAACTTCGGGGGCTGTTTTTCCCCTGGTTCCTTGAATGGAAGGAGCGCTGTTTTGGGGGCGCGGAGGGGGGGTTGGGGTGCGTGGCACTGTGTGCACACACTGCCGTGTCGGCACATGCTTCCCTGGCGCGTTCAGCACCGAGGATATTTTCCTCAGCCCTTTTGGACGATGTGCTTCCCTCGAGCATCCTTCGGGATTCGGGCGATGGGGCGATAAAAGGTGGCTTTGTGCGATCTCGTCGCCCATCTCCCCGGTGGGTCGCATTCGGGCACAGTTGCTGTGTGTGATGGGCACGATGACTGTGAGAAATGCCAGCACGGTTTTCCCCCCTCTGTCTTTCCCTCGCATCTTAATTCGGTATTTCCCTACCCTGATAAAATAGATTTTTGGATGCCTTGCATGAAGATGGAAGCACTTTCCTCTTCTTCCTCCTGCCTTCCGAGTTGAATATCCCTTGCAGAGGAGCCTTTTGGCCTCGGCACGGTGGTTTTTAGGAAACATGCACCTACTGACTGGAAGGAGAGCAGGAGAAGACTCGGATTCGGGGGCAGTTTGCTGCTGTCTCCCATCCCCTGTAGCAAAAGCGTTTGCAAGGGCTGAAGTTTTATTTCGGGTGTAAACAGCAAATATTTAGGGACTGTCCTTCTGGGTGTGTAGGAGGGGGAAGAGTGGGAGAGCCGAGTGTTTGGCAGTGCCTTCTCTCCACGCTGTGCAGTGCCCCGATTTTCCAAGAGTTTCCAAGGAACGTTGTCTCTTGTCTGCTGTATCCGAGGCTGGAGGAATGTGTGGCTGGTGGTGATGGCTACGAAAGCTCCCCGGGTTTTGAGGGGGTTTTTTTTTGGGGGGGGGGAAACTTTGTGTGTGGAATGCAACACTGATTTTATTATGTAAGGCAGATCTCCTTCGAGGGGGCTGGAGAATGAGGATTAACTGCTCCTCCCGAGCGCTCTTGCAGTGGAGCTGAACAGTTTTGCTGACTGGAAGTGTGTTAGGAAAGGGTTATAAACCCACCCAAACAACCTGCAAGTCCTTATTAAGGGTGAATATTTGTCGTGGTGAATATTTTTCCTGTCTCCAGCACGAACCTGTGCACAGAGGAAAAGCATTCCAGCAGCTTCTGCTGTGCTTTTCTCACACGAGTAAACTGATGTGGAGATACCTCAGTTCCTGATTGACTCTCTTAGGGGTTTAGGGCTTCCTTTCTTCTTCTGAGCTGTCTGGAGCTTATTCAGGCTGGGTCTCCCACTCTGTACCTTGCAGAGGATGTAATCCTTTCTTCTCAGGCCCCTGGTCCCTTCTCTGTGGGTTTGGAGAGCCCTCTGTTCTGGATCCTTCACCCAGAGGTTGATGCTCTGTGTTGTTTTTCTTTGTGAGCAGAAGATCTGCAAGAGCTTTTTAGAGCTCAGATGTTTTTTTTCTCTGCATCAGAGCCAGAGGCACTGATCAATAGCTCTTCCTTTCCAGTTCTGGCATCCCAGCAATGATCTTTTTGCCTGAGCAAGATGCCAACTTTGCAATCAGTGGCTCGGTGCTGGATGTGCTGTGAGGTACCCGGAGTGAAGGCACCCCCCCTTTGCAGGTCTCTGGTGGGTTTTGGGGTGTAATCACTGCAAATCGGTTCAGTCTGGGCTGGGACTTCCAGCACCTTCACTGAGCAAACCCTGAACCTCTGAAGAACAAAGTTCAAGAGGCTCTCCAACCTGTGCCATTGCCCGGGGTTGTGTGGGAAGCAATAACCGGGAGTTCCATAGAGTGGCAGCAGAGCTGTGTGTGTAGAACTGTCAATTAGTACTTCTGGCCGTCTTAAAAATAAAAGAGGGGACGAAATCCTGCTCTCCCATCACATCAGCTGTGCCGTGGGGGCACGTCCTGCTGCCCAAAAACGTCCTACAAAGCCTGTGCTTCCCTCAGGGGCTGCTGTGCCAAGGAGGGATAAGGGAGCTGTTTGGGATAACGAGCTGAAGGGAATGTGGTGCCTGGGATTGGGAGTTGTTGGGGTCTGTGGGTGCTGGGGGCAGAGGAGTTGGTCTGTGTGGTTCCCCTCTCAGTTTGAGGGGTGCAGTGATGGTTTCACACTGGTGGGATGTGCACAGGGATTTACCTTTGCCTGAGAGTCGCTGGTGATCCGTGTGCGGCCTTTCGGAAATGAAAGGTGTGTGATAATCCCGAAATTCCATTTATTGGCTGGCAGTCAGGTGGGCACAGGAGTGCTTTCTGTCCCTGCAGGGTGGTTAGCAGTGCATCAGCAGCAGGAGGTGCATTTGGGGAGTGTGTTTTCTGTGTGTGTGTGTGGATGGACAGGGATCAAATGTCTTTGGAAGGCCTGTTATAAAAGGGGCTCGATCCCATTATTTACACACCGGGCTTTGTGCTGGGCTAAGGAAGGGTGCACCAGCTTGAAACATCATCTCCTCAGTTTAACCCACTGCGGTTCTCCTTTTTCTTGATGGAAAACAGTTTTTGGCAGGCTCCTGGTCTGAGGAGTGGGGGAGCAGGAAGCTGGTCACGAGTTTTGGGTTGGACTCTGAGATGAGCTCAGGCAGGGGGGTTTGGTTGCAGAGATTTAACCTGCACTGATAATTCGGTGAGGGACCATAATACAGGGTCACCTGAGGGACCACGAGGGGTTAAATAACATTCCCTGTGGTTTTAATGATGTGGGACCAGTGGGATAAATGGAGCAGGCAGTTCAGTAGGAGGTGGAGTCGGTAAATGTGATGGGTTTATATCAAACTTCAGTTAAAGACCTGAGCTGGCACCAGAGCTGGGGGCTGTCCAGAGTCACATTATGAACCCTGAATGGGATACAGTAAAACCAGAACTCCTGTTTAAATCAACAGGTCTGTTCCTTTGCCATAGTTACAGCTGCTCATGCCGTGGTTCCCAGGGAGGCATCCAGTGAAAACGATGTTCCCTTTCCCTTTAAGGATGGAAATTGGTGATTGTAATTCTCCTTTTTGATGGTCTGTTGTGGCTTGTGGAAGGTGCTGGTGTGTGGTTGTGCTGCAGAGCCACGGAGGTGGGGCACAGGGACATCAGAGAGCACGTGGGCGTCAATCCTGGTTGGGAGTCAGGAGTTTTACTCAAAAAGTCCAGTAACTAAGACATGATCCTGCTTGGGTTGTTGTTCAGAGAGGGGAATAAAGTCTCGTGGCTGTTTGTTAGAAAACAGGAGCTTGTGAGGGAGCAGGAGCTCTGGGAGCAGGGGGAGGCTCAGATCAGCTCTGCCCAGGCACTGTTATTGCAGGGCTGAGGAGCATTCCCGAGCATTCCCGAGCCCATGGTGTGATCCAGGCAGGATCTGTTGTAAATCAGCCCTTTATTTTGTTCTGTGGCCTTTAATCTCCGCTGTCCTCAGTGAAGAACATCCCCATGGAGCAGGTTTTCCCTGGGAAGTGTGTGCCCATGAGGAGGGGGGAAGAGCAGCCCTTGCCTGGAAGGCTCCTGAGCAGGAGCCACGACTCTGCTTCCAGCTTGGGCTGCTGGCTCACAACTCATGGAACCACAGAATCATTTAGGTTGGAAAAGACCTTTCAGATCACCCAGTCCAACCATTAACCAAGGTCCACCCTGCAGATGATCTCCCTTCTCCTCATTCCTTGGATACCTGTTGGGATGGGTGTGGGAATGTGATCCAGGTGATCTGCCCTGGATCCCTGGGGATCCCCCCTTTGCCAGGGGGTTTTGGGGCTCAGGGAGAGGTTGAGCTGTTGCTCAGGTCCCATCTGTGCCCCAGAGAGGGCACTTTCCTGGGCAGGAGTGACTGTGCCTCGTTGTCCTTCACCTGTCCCCAAAAGTAGATTTAATTCCTGGCCCCCTGTTTGCTGTTAACCACTTCCACCAGCGCTCCAGGGCTTTCCAGCCATGGAATTACTGTGTGCTGCTTGTTGCCTTGCTCTGGCTCCTGAGAGGCCACTTGTTTGGGCAATGCCAAATTTCACAGCTGTGCTTGTGTTCCTGCTGGTGCCCCCCCCCAGGCCCTGCTTGGATTTGGCCTGGATCTTGACCAGAGGAAATTGTTATGATAATGTGGAGGGTTAGTTTGGGGGCAAGGTCAGGCAGCCTTAACTCTCTTTGTGTCCACAGTGTTGCAAAAAAATTCCTCCTGGCTCCATTTTTATCAGGAGTATCCCGAGACACGGGGCTGGAGTAATTTTTCCTGGGCTTTGGTGAAATTCTAACAAAACTGTGCTCAGCTGAGCGGATTTTAAATAACACTTCTTTACTCTCCTCCATGGTTTTGGGCACTGGGAAGGTTCAGGAATGCCATGGATGCTGCACTTTGCCTGCAATACACCTGATGCAGTGCAGTAACCTGTAAACTGTCCCTGCTGCTACCATGCCCTGGGGTGGCACACGGGGCTGAGGGTGCTTCCTGTGGGATTGGGAAAATCCCATGGATTAAAGGAATCAAATGAGCTCTGTTCCAGTGGCTTTGCAGCCAGCAGGGATGGAGGCTGCAGGGAGCTTGGGATGGGAACTGTACCTCCCTTGCAGGAAAGTGGAAGACTTTTTGGGGTGTTTTCCTTCTTTTTTTTTTTTTAATGGGACTTCCCAGTGGGCAGTGTGGGGTTTGTCCTCTCTTCCCAGTGTCAGGTGCATTCCCTCATCCAGCTCCTTGCAGTGATTTTCTGTCCTCACCCTGGAGTGATGAACTGCCTGGTTTTCTGTACTGGATGAAAAGGGAACTTGGGGGCTGTGTCAGAGTCCTGCTGGGGATTTCTGAGAGCTCCAGATAATCCTGGAGAGGGGAGATCTGGTGTTCTGTGACTCTCGCTGGAGGAGCAGGATCCGTAACCGCGAGGGCTGGAGCAGCTGTGGTTGCCAGGGAGATGTGTGAGAGGGGAGTAATTAAAAAATTAAATCCTTCCCCGTTATTGACTGCAAAAATCTGCTGGAAAAATGAACTGGTGGCCTACATTTGGGGGAGCTGGAGGAAGTGGGACACGACTTGCAGAGCCATCCGTGCGAGATG